GATCGCTTCAAGAATCGTCTCTAGCATCTGGAACGACTTCGGCGTCCGCATCAGCAATACCCACAACACAACAACAAAACTACCTGCACGCTCCTCGATATTCTCAACAACAACAAACTCAGACGCAAATGACTCAACAACAAACACCTACTCAATCCGCACCGCAATCACAACAATCACAAGTCCAACAACCCGTAGTCGTTAACAGGCAGCCGCAAAGAAGATATGCCCAAATGTCGTCCAGTCCGTCGCTGTCTACAATAAATGATACTGCTGGAGGACAGCAATCGGTAGCAAGCGCGATTAGCCCAATACCTGCGAAAAGGGAGGCAAGTAGTAAAAGATTTCCGTTATTACAACGTATAAGAAATGATAGTATTGTTATGATTGTGTTAACCTTACTTTGCATCATTATTAAAGGCATATACAAATTCGCAAGCATCTCAACGCGTGTCGGCTTACCACCATCATGAGAATCTTATAGGGCTTGGATACCAGCAACAATCAGGTGCTCCCCAACCAGGAAGCGGCGGTCAGAGCGCTTCTCAACAAACCCAATCGGCGATACAGCAAGCAGCGGCAGCACAGCAAGCTCAGGCTCAGGCTCAGGCTCAAGCTCAAGCTCAAGCTCAAGCTCAAGCGGCTCAGGTACAAGCACAAGCACACGCCCAAGCCCAAGCCCAAGCCCAAGCCCAAGCTCAAGCACAGGCACAAGCACAGGCACAAGCAGCCCAAGCACAGGCACAGGCACAGGCACAAGCGGCTCGAAGTCCATACCAAACCTATAATACTAGTCCTCAAATAGCTTCTGGCCGACAAGCAATATATCAACCTCCACCAGCAAAATCTCCACGGATGACAAAAACAGTCGTTCAAAAGGCAATACAGCCGCCAGCACAGCCGCCCCCGCAAACACAACAACCACAGCATCAGCACATGGCACATCCTCAAGCCCATCCCCAACAATCTATTTCTCATCCACAAGCACCCGTGCAACAGTTACAGAAAGCGCAACAGCGACCTGTGTTACCAGGTGGTGGCATACCTTCACAGCAGACATCCACGGCGTCTGTCCCTATAACAAAGCCTAGTCCATCTCCGAGCGCGTCAAGTAGCATAGGTAAGAATGTAGCCGGACCGAGTAAAGAGGGACCGTCATCGGTGGCGCCAGTGAAAGGAAATGACGCCCAAAGAACAAAGCGACCTATGAATGCGTTCCTGATTTTCTCTGGCGAGAGACGACCGCAGTTGCAAAAGGCAGATCCTAGATTGACTACTGCAGATCTAAGCAAGAAGCTTGGTGATGAGTGGAAGCGGATGGAAGAGGAAAAAAAGAATCGCTATGTTGAGAAAGCTAAACGACTAAAGGAGGAATTTACAAATAACAATCCTGGATATAAATACTCTCGTCGTTCAAACTCTACTCACAAGCACAAACGTACTGGGAAGAGTGCCAGTTCTAGTAGTGTGTCAAGTGCATCGGTTAGTTCTGGGAGATCTGCTTCGTACACACATTCACCTGGTGGAAAAGGACGTGGGGCTCCCGTTGGAAAATCAAAGGTGAGTGTCGCTGTCTTGAAGATATATACGACACGTGCACAAGACGTGCTATATTATATGCTATATTATATGCTATATTTACTTGTATGAGAATGTAATGTGAATTTAAGCTCACTCATGCAATTGTTTTCGTTTAGAAGGCTCAAGCTGCTGCTGCTGCTGCTGCCGCTGCTGCTGCCGCCGCCGCTGCCGCCGCCGCTGCCAGTTCATCTAAGAGAGATCGTAAATTGAAGCGACCAATGAATGCATTCTTACTATACAACAAAGAGATGCGACCAAAAGTTTTGCAGAAAAATCCTAATATGACCGTAGCAGAGATCTCGAAAACTATTGGGGACAGTTGGCGTTCTATGCCGGAGGTAAATTTATCTCTGCGCTTAACGTGTCATTCTGCACGTGGTCGATTCAAAATTTTTTTTAACATTTTTCTTCTTTGCTTAAATAATAGGATCAACGCGAAAACTATCTTCAACTAGCCCGTCAGATAAAAGATGAATTCCACTCTAATAATCCCGACTTTGTGTATACGCGCCGCTCTAAAGCAGAACTAGCAGCCGCGGGTCTTAGTACGACCAAGAAGCGCAACTACAATGATGAGTCAAGCGATTCGGAAGAGACTCATCATCCCCGGCGTAAGCGCCATGATGACGGTACACATCACAAGGATCCTCGTGGTCGCAAGAAGAAGCGCGCACGACATCCTACTGCGCCAAAACATCCAATGTCCGGATTCTTATTCTACGCCAGCGATGTCAGACCGGAGATTACTCAGGAAAATCCGGGAAAGACTGTTGGGTTTATTAGTCAGATTATTGCTAAGAAGTGGAGAGCGTTGACTGCTGAACAGAAATCTCCTTGGGAACAGAAAGCATCAGCAGACAAGGCGAGATATGCTAAAGAAATGGAAGTTTATTTGCAGAGTCAGAAGGGCGAAGAGTGACGGAATTGTGAATAAAAAATTTTGAAACATTTTCTATATACAAAATACTATATAGCTTTATGTTTACAGCAAAATTGAGGAGCTGAAGGAGAAAAAAAAAAAGAGATTTACACAGCAGCAAAAAAAAAAAAGAGAGAAAGCTTGGATAATGTTCCTTTAATGTCACATATACTCTCATGAAATGTTTATTTAAGATGATTATTCATCATCTACTCTATTATCGTGTAAATTGTTTGAATTATATATATCGTCAAAAACCATCCCAACTCTAATTTAATTCACTGTCATACTGATTTAATACATGTCAATAAGCATCCGCATCATTCAGAATATTCGCAACTGTAAAGATAAAAGATGAGAAGGGATAATAATGCAAATCAGGAAGGAAAAACAAAAGAGTATATAATGTTGAACCAAAAATAAAAAGCTTGCAATTAACTCAGTACATGTTATATACAACAGTAAATGTTGATATTCTCCCGAAATTTATTAATTGTTGCCGCAACCCATATACAAACGACATCACAGCTTGCCTTTGGGGAGTTTGTAGCGTGCGATACTCGCAGAATTGCGACAAGTATAAATCATTTTTGTAGTTTACATCATGATTGCAAACTTTTACAGCTCTTAACCTTTTTTAAAGTATGAATGAGATGAATCAGGTTTTAAACAGGACAAGACAGATTGTGCGTGTGGATAAGAAATCGCAGAGACAGTCTGTTCAGGGGTTCTTTGGTTTATTTGTCGAAAACAAACAATCATTCTCAAATAGTTATTTGTTCTAATGTAATCAGGCAATTTCTTACAGTCGCCGCTGAACAAGGTTATTGTTCCAACCTTGCTCAGTCTGATTAATGAACGACTGACTGACAATAATGCTACTATGACATGTTGCATACTGTTAGTTTATGAAATTTGGATATTTATGCTCGAGAGGAAAGGCCTTCCTCTTTTCCTGCTACGTGACAATCCAATGAGATTGACCGTGATGAGTTGCGCGTCTCTTGACCAATGTGGTTTTTCTTCGTGATCAGTATGATTTCCCACCATATTTCCAGATGTTTGAGAGGAGCTTATTGTGCAGACGCAAAATATTCAAGCATATGCGCTTGCATTTACTTTGTTAAGATAAAATATTGATATAAAAACTCTATATGTATATATATTTATCATAACTTAATACTCCTTCTAAAATTTGAGCATCTGCTTCCTGCCCCTCTCCTTTTTTAATCCATCTCCAAGCTCTCTTTCTCTCCGTCGCAGTTCTTCACAATTAGCTTCTAACGCCCTAACTTTTGCTCTGAATCTGCTGGCCATCGCCGGATCCTTGCCCTCATTCCGAGTGAGCGACTGACGTGCTTTAACTAATTCCTTTTCAACGACAGCCAATTCACGTTCCAAATTAAACAAAGCGACGTTCTTGTTCTGATGCTTGTCATTTCTTGACGACACATTGGATTGATGCAATGCATTTGAAGCAGGTCTGGTCAATGCTGATGACGATGACGAGTACACTATTGATGACGATGATACGCGGTTATTACTTGTAGTGTTTAGAGAAGAATTGAGAAAATCGAAAAAGCCATCAGGTTTAGGCTCGGGTTTAGGTTTCGACGGTTTAACCTTTTTGCCGTTGGTAGAAATATAATCTAACGAGACACCTTGCTTGATAAGACGAACTTCGATCGGATTGATTATGCCCTCTTTAGATTTGCCAAGACCTTCACCCTATTATTTTTTATAGGCAAAGTTTTAGATAAAATAATATAAGTTAATGGGAGAAAAAACTGTCACGTTTGTTATTATCAAACATGCTTCCTATAATCTGCAAAACTACAGTGTTTTCTCGATACTTTTCTCCAATCTCCAAAAATGAAAAATGATTCCTGCCTGTTTATATCCCATCTTTGCCAATAACTTGCTCCCAATGCCGCGTGTATGCTTTTCCCATTCAGCAAAGTTCACATTAGCATCGTTCAATGTATCTGATGAGCCAAGAACAGAATATGCAATCTCTTTGGTTTCCTCTTCCTCCACCTCTGCTTCTTCTCCTTCTGTTTCAGGAGAGGTGTTGTCAATATAATCATCATTCTCTTGTTCATTCTCATCGTTTTCTTGTGATACCAATGCCAGGCCTTCTGCGCTTTCAAATGTCAAGTCGCTTTGGTTTACTTTAACCGAATCTGCTGCCTCAAGTTCTCGTTTTGTAGCCTCAATTAGTTGCTCGTGATGCATGGCAACAAGCTCTTCCAGATCTTGAACACATTGCTTCAAGTCTTGCTCATCAGGAGCAAGCAGCAAGAGTTCTTTTAATTCGTTCAAATTTGATTCTAGATCGCGAATGGTTGCCTCGATCTCAGCCGAACTTGTTTCCATTTTGAGATAAATCAGACAAAAGCACGAGACAGATGCAAAGAGAGAGCAAGCGGGGATGGCAAAGAGGAAGGTAGAAGTGCAAAGGACAGTGTATTATGCTCATGGTGATTATAGTGGAAAGAGCAGCTTGAAAGGTTGGAATTTTTGTTCTTTCAGCACGTGATAACTGACCACTTATGTTAAAAACCACAATGTAGTTCATATTGCTATCTTGAAAATTGCTGAACGTCTTCCAGAAGGTGTGCAACAACTGACCTTGCTACTGCTCAAACTCGCCGGAAAGTAATGGATGGCGAATGAATCAGACGGCATCAATTGTGACATGGAGTCGAGTATTGATTCATCGCTTAAAATCCCCAGCGAGAAAATCATAATCGGTATTAACAGTGATCATTTCAAAAGAAAAAAGCTCTTCGATGTGATTTTTGGCTTTTGGTCGAGAGCTGACATGCAATATGTCGTTACTCATAACTCGCGAACTGCTGACCTTAGGACTGGGGCAGCATTTACTACGTCTGTAGTATTACAATAACTTTAAATAATATTATCGACATTCTAATTATATTCCCATACTCGATTCACGTACACTCATCGTCGGAAAGTTCAGGAAGACGTAAAAATAAACTTTTCGGCATATTAATAAGTTATCGAGCATTGGGTGCACAAACTCTTTTTAGAGTTTAGTACAAATTGAATTTCCGGCCTCTACTACTTGGCATGCTTCGCTTTGCCTTTGAAATGAACTGATTTTCATATGTTTTTCTAGTTGATCCGATTTTTGGTCTTATTCGCACACCAATCAATTATTCGTGTTTGCAATTTAATAAGACTAAATTCTAATTACACAGAAACATGCGTTTTAGTTATCTTGTAACAGATCGTCGAAACCAATGCGAATTTAGAATCAAAAAGTCGTTATTTGTTAAACAGCTCACGTAATATGTGAGTTTAGTTATGCGATGTTTGTGTCTTACGTGGCGTAACAGGAATATCATCAAGTTACTTGGAATGCTTATCTTCAATTGGCTCATATAATGCAACCCTAACAGTACTTCAAGGAAACATACATATAAAGTAATTTCCCCCAAGGTGACCCATGTGCGAATTTTGGATCCACTTTAGGAACAGGAACTCGCCGAGTAATTAGAATACAAACGAGAAATGAAAGTTTGTCTTTGCATCCTAAGTCTATACTCGCGGTTCTCTTACTATAATTGAATGCATAAAAACCAAATGCGAAACCCATAACACCATGTGACAAAGAATAAACCGCCGTATAAACCATGTAATGATCGTCGTGCGCAAATAAAAGCCCATCGCGGCTTCAAGTTTTGAAAAAAGTTATGTTTACGCATCATGACTCTTGTAATTCTTATTCTAGAAACAAGTTAATCTTTTGGGTACCCGTATCAATCTCTATAATATGTGTGGATTAGGTAATAGCAATGCTTACGAAGTCGATTGCTGATGAATTAAAGTTATCGATACGAAGGCAGATGTGTTACACACACAAGAAATGTGTGTATAACTTTATTAAATTACACAGCTTTGTGTCGCTGATTGTGTTCGGCAAGTTCA